CCATGACGTCATTTCTCGCGGAATCTCGGTGACGCGGTAAATAGATGGGTTTCGAGCGTCGCCACGGCTACTACTTACTCTGTGAATAGCTGACAGCGTCAACGTTGACCTGCTAGTGTCATCATGCTACGCGGCACGTAATTGTAAGACAATTAATGTGTATTCTCGTTTCAATTTTAATATTGCACCTTTCGACTTTTTTACTAGCCGGTGACAATGCATAGTACACGAATATTGGTGACTCATTGTGGTCTTGTACTGTGATCTTGTATCTGGTTCCCTCTCTGTATTTCCAAACAAGGGCACTTCGAATCAACGAGTGCGGGTGTCATCTAGAAAACAAAGGGGTAAACGCCGCCTCTAATTTTCTATCATGTTAGTGGTCACGCGATCGACAGGAATTTTCCGTAACATAATCTAATTCAAGGTTTAAATAGTCCATGTTGTCCCTTTTCCAGTTATCTATTTCTTAATATGAAAAGGTATTCTTAATAATGATAGAGTCGATTTGGTTCATAGGCCTAAGGTGCTTGTGGCGCTCCGAAGTTATAAAAATTATATTACCGCAAGGTACACTAGTACTACTACTACTAGTACTAGTACTAGTAATACCTATTTTTGTACTAGTAGTAGTATACTACTAACTAGTAGCTACTACCATGCCCAGTAGCCAGGGGGGGTTCGGGGGGTCGAAGAACACTACCACCCTGCCCCCCCGCTCGTGGCTTGGGCTCCCTCGCTGGTGCCCTTCGCGCCCTGATGAGGGCCGTGTAATGGGGGTCCAGGAGTCCGGACCCCGCCTTGCTCCGCGCAGAAATAACGCATACTGAGGGGTCTAATTTAAAACAAAAAAGAACCAAGACCCCCCCTGCGTCGTGCTCGGCAACTATTTGGGTTATCGGTTAGCGCCCCCCCCCCTGGTACAAATCCTATTACACGCCCTGCCGAGCAAGTCCAACATTGAAAACGAACGCCCCCTCAATAGACAGCTGCTACGGGCCTGCTACTTACTATACCGACAGGCTGTGCGACGGATTGTCTTACACCTACCTAGGTATCCTAAGCCCTACGATACCGTTTCCTTTGCTGAGCTAACTACTACTACTACTTACTATACTAGTAGTAGTAGACTACTAGTTACTAATACTACTAGGTTAGCTAAGGTTCTGCGCTTTGCAAAGTGAAGTGTACTTGTCAATTTGTAGTCATAATCACTTCTACTAGTACTACTACTCAGTAATATTATTATATAATAATATACATATATATAATTATAAATTATCAACAGCATATCAGACTACATGTTCTCCACAGGAAACATCTCGGAAAAAGACTATCGGAAAGCATTTCGTTTATTGTATGACGATACAAGAGGCCTGAGACCATTGGAGTCATAGTCCCATCGCCCGTTATGGTGTCAGAACTTGCTGTTAGACAACACAGACACACACACCAGCCACACTACACACGACACACACCCACACCCACACACACCATACACACACAACACACACACACACCAACAAATTCGCGGCACTACACACACAATCACACCACTACGCATAAACACACACACACATACACAAACAGATCACATATATGCGCGCGCGCATGAAACCAGCACAGATCACTACACGCACACTACAGACACACACCACGCACTCGCACCAGCACGCACGCACGCACGCACACACACACCACACACAACGGCGCAACATCACACACACACGATGCGCGCGGCCATAAACACACACAATCACATCCCACACACACACGCAGTAAATCACACACACACAACCCACCCACACATAACACACTCACGACCGGATCGCATAAACACACCTACACCGTGCGCATGCATTGAAACACACGACACATACAGCGCAATACACCATATACACAAACACATACACTACACGCGCACATAGAGACACACACATAGACACACACACATACACTACACGCACACACACACACACACACACACACACACACACACACACAAACACGCGCGCCTTTGGTTATACATTGTTTTTTTACATTGCCATTGTGTTTTCGTGTTGTGACGTTGCACCGCGCTTGGTGCAAAAATTTATGTTTATAAAATTTTCGCACTATTTTAATGTTTTTGAACGTGGAATATGAAAAAAATGAAACTGAAAAAAAAAATAGCCCATGCAACGTGTCATGATCTGTAGAATGTTCGTACCAAGTTTGGAAAGGATCCGTTGAGCGGTGAGGAAACGTATAGCCACACACACACAGAAAATCTCCAATTTATAGTAAGATTACATATGTCATGAGCAACCCCAATGCACTGGTAAACTCGATCAGTTCTGAGGCATATACGTCTAGGTGTAAAAACGCAGCATTACTGTTAGAATTGTCAAAACCAAACACAGCTGGAGATTGAGGCATGTTGATAAGGCAACTGTATGGGCATGCACCGCCATAACACAGTATGACTGCCAATTCTCCTGACAAAGTTGCACGAATTTTTATTTTGCAAGTTTCTGACTTGAAGCAATTCGCATTCGTCGCGTGTACAGGTGGCAAAAACTAGTGTTCAGTGCATGTTATATGGAATTATCACATTTGATCACTTAATTGTTATCATTTTCTGAATTACACATTGTAATATTTTCTCACCATTTGCTACTGTCTAAGACTTAGTGTCTTGCGTGCATCTACATTTGCATGCAACTCCCTAGTTATCAGTGTGCATTCCATTGCCTAGCAACTGTTGTCAAGCTTTTAATGTCACATTTTGTTAATCTTCCTTTAGTAGCCAATTTTCTCTTGGATTGTTGGCCATGCAACCAGTTTTTGTGTTCACAGAAAACTCAATGTCGAAAATGATTTTCCCATTGTGAATACCCACCAATTACACATGTCCAGGCTGTAACCTGGCCCATGCAGTGTGAAGGTCATGCACCTATGCTCAGCAAGTTAGACAGAGAGAGCGAGAGAAGGCGGAGGAAGGAATTGGGAGAGACGGGGAGAGGGGGAGGAGAGAGAGCGAGAATGAGATAGTTATTAGTCATATTTTGTATTAATTATGCAAACATAAAAACTAATGAAGTCAAATGCAAGTTACTTACAATACTCACACAGCAATGCAAGTAATAATTGAAATTTTTGAGAAAGGGATTTAATCGCATAAAAGAAAACGAAATTGTCACTTTCTGATTGCATCACATTATCACTCAAATGTATACGTGATACAACCAGGAATGAATAAAAACAAAGCTTTGCTTTTATTCACTCCTGATAAAAATATTGCCAACTTGCGAGCTTAACATTTCGTTTTGTCGGCTGGGAATGTACTTGACTCTGTTATCAATGCCTTGGAGGGTAACTGATTTTCAAGGTAAAGTGTTGAAAACTCTGTGATACATTATCATACACAAACTTATTACGCATATCGAGTTCTCCCAGAATAGTGTATTGTGTACACGACACGTCATCATATATGATGTTGCTCACAAGTTGTCAGTATTGTGATAACTGAAGCATGTCAAATTTGTCTGTAGTTGTAACGCCCCGGCGAAACCTTAACAGATATAGTTCTGCGTTCATGTAGTCCATAATATTGTCACCGCAAGATGGCGCCACAATGTCAGACTATTGTACGTGGAGTTTGGTGCGTGCGTGGCGAGCAGCCAGGTGTGGTGCGTAGAGACTGGTTCCACCCGGAGAGATCGCACCTGCCCCCATTTAAACTGAAACGGCAGGTGCGCTACTAGCAACACACCTGGTTACCATCCCTCCATTATTGTTAATGTTATCCGGGTTCAAGTGCAGCTGAGATTCCTCTGTACAATTATTGAAGATGCACTCCGTTAAAAACCGTGCGTGAGTGTATGAGTGATCCTATTTCCTGTGATGTGTACCACCGACCTGTCTCCTACAGTCTGTGGTGGCGGCGTGGTATAGTGGCAGCGCGTGCATGCGTGTAGCGCCCGATGCCAATCCACGTTATGTTCGGGGCTCGAACAATAATTTGGGACACCCGCAATATGTTTTCGCATATGTGCTACATTGTAAATCTGAGGTGCTAAACAGAACATCGTGCTGATG